TTTTTAAAACTCTCTTTTCTTTCTCAAACTCTAATTCAAACTCAACATTCTCTTTACATTTCTTCTCTTAAATTCATCTTCCCAAATTCAAGACTTGAGCTCTCCTTATATAGGCAATGCAAGTGGAGCCATGGTGGAAGATAAAGTGGAGAACTAATGGAGCAGTTAGGGAAGATAATGGAGCTAATGAAACACAAATGGAGTTAATGGAAGACAAAAATGGAGCATTATCTTCAATGGATCATGCACTAGGTAATGAAGGCTGAGTATACATATATTCAATGCATAAATGGGTCAGAAAATGGGGTTGTGAAGTGCCCCACCTAACCAACAAAAATCTAAACAAAACTGTCTCTAGGTGGTTGACCAGGCACCGGTCGACCGCCTGACCAAAAAGAAAATTGCCCGTTTTGCTTCGGTTCAATCCAGTTTTGCTCCAGTTATCCGACGAGGCTTAAACACTTGGCCAAAGCAAGCTTAGAGTTGAGAACAAAACTCAAATTCCATCTTTTTTACTGAGAATTTTGTGAAAAACATGTTCTTATTTTCATCATCGAATCAACAAAAGAAAGCCCCTAAGTCTTAGGACCAGTTAAAATAGGCTGTCTACAGTTGCCAAACCCAATTTCATGTATTTTGAAAGAGTTTTGAAGATGTACACCCCAAAGAAATTGAGTTTACAAACATGAAAATCAACATCACTCCAAATTAAGCGACACAACCTCTATCAACCGGCATTCATACAGTTATATCAAGTAAGTAAGTAGTCTGATGGTAGGATACTAAACATGATAAGAAAACACACACACAAGCGGGATGCTAAAGTATAAAAACTTACATATTTACCGACATCTTGCGAATAGTTATAAAACAAAGTTATCAAAATATGCATGATCTTATATACAAAATACTAATGCAATTCACTCATAAGATGTAACTAAAGATTCGACTTCTAATATATGACATGTAAATCATCTCAAAAACATGAGATAGCGCACATAATTACATAGGAATTGATTAAACCTACAGATGCAAACTTAGTCGAATCAAGATGCATGAAACATAGATGCAAAGCATGGATATAATGAAAAGCAAAATATGATGTTTATTTACAGATAAGGAAAGCAAGTGAAGAATGGGATAGAAAGAAATTATTACAACACTTTAAATAAATAATTACAAACCAAATGAGAGAGGGAGGAGGAAAATATTACAATAAAATTAAAAAAAAACTAGCCAAACTCTCAAATAAAAAGAAAATAAAAGCTTCATGCGCCTTGGAGACCACCGGAAATTGTTATGCGCAACATTGGAAGACTACACCGTTAAGTCCAAAAGAAATTAGCCGACCGACCAACTAGGCCTAGCAAAATTTGTCTTGTTGCAACGCCTAGAAAAGAATAAACAAAGAATATGTAGCTAGCTCAACTAATCACTTTCGGTTGGATTACAACAAAACTAATATGAAATTAAAGTAAGAAAGTAAATATAAGATAGAAAATGAAAGAAAATGCAAGAAAATGAAAAAAATTGAAAATTCACCTTCCAAAGAAAGAATGAACTTCTTAATTTCTAAACTTCTTTTTAATTATCCTCAAAGTTGTGAATTGTGTTCTCTATCCTCAATTCAGAAGTTTGGAATTTGGGTTAGATTGGTGTCTTTGGACAAGGAGATGATCACTCTTTAATCTTCTTCAACTTGGCAAGGATTACTCTCTCTTTGATCAAAGCTTTAGGACTTAGTTTCAATGAGTTTCTTGGGAGGTTTTTGTAATAAAAGATGAGATATACGAAGACTAAAGATAATTTCACTACTTTGACAATACAACACTCTGGTTTTTTAAGGCTTTCTTTTCTTTTTCATACTCTTAATTTTCTCTACACTTCTACTCTCAAATTCATCTCATCAAATTCAATACTTGAGCTCTCTTTATATATGCAATGCAAGTGAAGCAATGGTAAAAGACAAAGTGGAGAACTAATGGAATATTTAGGAAAGATAATGGAACTAATGGAGCACTAAAATGGGGTATTATTTTCAATGGATCAAGCACTAGGCAATGGGCGGAGTATACATGCATTTGGTGCAAAAATAAGTTAGAAAATGGGGTTGTGAAGTGCCCCACCCAAGCAAACAAAAATCTAGTCTACATTGTCTCCGGATGGTCGACCGACCGGTCGACCGATTAGGGTAAAAAATGTCTGTTTTGCTTCGATTCAGTCCAGCTTTGTTCTAGTACCCAATGGGTGTTAAACACTTGGCCAAAATAGGTTTAGAGTTAGGAAGAAAGTTCAAATTTCATCTTTTTTTTACTGAAGATTTTGTGAAAAATACATTCTTATTTTCATCATTCGGTAATCAAAAGCAAGTGCTCAAGTCTTAGGGCCGGTCAAAATGGAGTATCTACACCGCGGATACTCAACTACATTTCAAATAGCTAAAAAAATTTAGAACCATTTAAATCCTTAATATAGTAAATAATTTTCTTGTTTCCATAAATATAAACAATGAGACTTTAGGATTATTATTTATTTAAATTCAAACAGAAATCACAAACTTTTAATATTCTTTTTTTATAGGGGAATTGACTAGTAAATCCCATTTTGTGGACTTGTAATCCATAAGGTCCTAAATGTTTTCTTGGTGACTGGATGGTCCCTTAATTTGTTTGTTGACTATTTTGCCACTATTAGTATTATTGGTTGATTAGTGTGAGTTTGTATAGGGAAGGTGAATGGGTGTTTGTGTGTCACGTTGATCGGAAAAGTACACTAATACCTTTTTTAATTTAATTGGTTTGTAACACTCATAGAAATAGAACATGGTTTCGGTTGTGACGTGAACACGCAAAATAAGACACAAATGGTTTCGGATTTCTCACAACCCGAATTTTGAAACCCACGTTATATATATCCACGTTATATATTTCTCACGATATATATTTCTCACAACCCGAATTCTGAAACCCACGTCTCATATATTTCACACAACCCGAATTTTGAAACCCACGTCTCACCTTCTCTCTCTCTCTCTCTCTCTCTCTCTCTCTCTCTCTCTCTTTATATATATATATATATATATGTATCTGTCACCGTGTAGATGGAAGAAGACACACAGTGGCAACGGCTAGAAATGCAGGACAGTGAAGCTATCACCTTCTACCCCAGCTTCAACAGCTACTCTTCCAATATGATGCGAGACCTGTCTCAAACGAACTCGACGACGATGACGATGATGATTTCGAATTCTCTTTGGTACGTGGTGATTCTGATGTAACTGCAGATAAGATATTCGCCTCCCACACACGGCAGTCAATGATCCACGTTTCCCCTCGCTGCAACCCTAACTTCGTTCCCCTACTCGCAACACCCTAAAGGAATAGAACCCTAACCCACCCATTTCGTAGCAATGTAAATGGCTGTCCTCAAACCCCACGAAACGTGGGATTACACCTACCAAAAATAACAGTATGAAATCTTCATAAAATCACGCGAGGGCATATCCGTCTGCAATATGTCCTTCACATTCGAAACAGGACTATACAGTAACAAAGTGCTCCTGAAAAGGACTTGGTAGACAAAGTAAAAAAACGTGGGACCATTTGGACTATAAGTTCCTATAATAGGACTTTTTAATAAATTTCCCTAATTTATATTAGTAAATTTTAGTTATTATAAGTAAACTGTGTGCGGATATGAGCATTTATATATATATATATATATTATTTACCATTTTTTTTGGGTGTTAAATATGTAAAGGAGAAGGTTTTTCTCCAACCCAAGATGTAGGAGCTCCTACATCCTAAGTAATGTGGCACCTTATGATTGGCTAACATCCTCTAATATTTACTTAAATTACAAATTATCTCATGTGGTTTTAGAAATTATATTATGCCCCTAAGGTTTACAATTCCATAACAAATAGATCTTTTTATTAATAAATTATCAAGTTAATTAACAGTTTTTAATAATGTTAAAATTTTATTTCAATTAATAATTCAGATAATTTTATTATTGTCTAGGTGAATAGTTAGATATTTCACTTTTTCAATTAATTCTGTTAAATAAAAAATTTAGAGAGTCAGACATTTGTAGAATTTTTTAAGTCACAAGAAGTAATTCGTATTTAAATAAATCTCAGATGGTATATTTATAATTTATAATATACCAAAATAAATAAATAAATAAAATCTACCCAATTTAAGGGCTAGTTTGGCAACTTACAAAAAAGCAAAAAAAATAAAAAGTTACAAAAAAAGTTAAAAAGTTATTACTATTTACTAAAAAAAATTATTCTTTTGCAAATTGTGAGACAACTCACTTTGACGGAAGGCGGTTGTTCTTGACTTTGGTGAAGATAAATTACACAGGCGGAGGCAAGCTTAAAGACTGTGTTGTTTGGCCCGTGGAGGCCATCACGAGTCCCGTTTTGATAATCCGAACCGTTAATGTGTAGAACTCGTTGAGTACTATATGTCTATAAAAAATCACGTTGATCGAATATCGCAAACTATATGATCAAATCACTTTTGTATAAAAAAAAGGATGATGTTATAATTAACGATTGAAATAAAACTAATCCGATCAAATAGCTATCGATATCCAATTAACGTGATTTTTTACAAGCATATAGTACTCGACGAATTCTACACATTGACGGTTCCGATTAGCAAAACAGGACCCATGGTGGGCCCCCATGGACCGAACAGCACCGTCCAATTTTTTATGCCCGAAAAGGAGAGAATCAACTCCTACCCTACACTCTGCCACGCTGCCCCTCACGCTGCCGACTGTACGGCCTATTCCATCACTAACTTCTCTTATACACTTATTTATACAATTGTTTTATACATATTTTTTATAAAAAGTTAAAAAATTAATCCAAACATTCATATTTTTTTTTCAATTTTTTAATTTAAAAAAATAAAAAATACAATTATTTAGAACACCTCAAACTATCACTATAAGTATAAACAAACAAACCCCACGAACCGGATTAAAATGACAATCCCTATTTGCACCCAACCCACGCACAACCCTCCTCGCTCAAGAGACTACTAGGTACTAACCCTAAATCGTTCTCTCAGTTCTGTACCATATCGAAAAAAGCAAAAGAACCTTCTCCCAACTCCGCCGCCCCACCTTCACCCCCACGACACGATCAACCACCACTGGAACACCGTGCATCACCCGACTCAGTGATTACAGCATCAATGACCTCAATCGACACGCAAACAAGGTATTTCCTACATATTTCTGTTTGCATCTCCACTTCTAATCAGTTCTTCACAGTGTGATTCTAGGGTTCAGAAAGATTTAAAGGAATAATCAAATGCATAGCTGACTATATTCCACTTTTTTTTTTTTTCTTGGGTTTGAATTGTTTTGCTAGATTATCACAAAAAGTTTATATATATATATATATATTGTCAGAAGCTAACTGGAGCTCAGATTGTGATTTACACAGTTTTTCTTGTTAGACCTTGTGGTGCCATGGTCATTCAGCAGCAATCAAGAAGCTGGGTCAGCATTAGCTGCTGTTGACAAAGCTTGTCTGTAATTCTGCATAGATTTCTTCAGAAATTTGGTTCTTTTTCAATATTAGTAATTGTTTTATTATTGTCATTTTAGTATAATATATATGTTGGGAGGTCAATTGGAGTGTGTAACATCCCAGTTAGGTATTAATATATTGAAGTCCCAATTCACAAAGCTGAAAATCCAACCCAGTGGTTCGAAATCATCATATTCTTTTAATTGAGGTTTGGCGGTTTGATGATGGGTGTAAAAAAATACTCAACCCGCCTAGGCGATTTAAATAAAAAAAGTTGCCCCAAATTGACCCAACCCAATCCAAGCCTAGCCATCCCGTGCACACCCCTAGGTATTACTTTGATTATTGATTGTTAGTATTTACCTTCAGCTTCTTCTAAAATGTATAATCTGCATAGTTTGATTAATTCGACTATTGATTTGATTTTGTAGGCTACGCGTTTTTAGTTTCACTGCCTCTTCGAATCTGACTGCCAGAACATTGTAGAAGCAATTCATATCCAGTAGGGTTCAAGGACAAGTGAATTGGGAATAATCAGCTAGAGATGGTTGGGAATTCATTGGTTCAATTTGTCAGTTGCCCTACTGTTTTGTCTTCGTCTTTGATTACTAGCACATGCAGTTCTTCAAAATTCTTGTCTTATCTGCCACCGAAATCACAAAAACAACTCTTTAGAGTAAGAGCTACATCATCCGCTGATGCAGGGCATACCCAGTCACCCTCTTCTTCTAAAGAAAAGAATCCTTTTGGGGCTATTTTGGATGTTCCTCGAACCATTTGGAGGCAAACATTTCGTCCGCTGAGCGATTTTGGGTATGGCAAGAGGAGCATTTGGGAAGGTGGAGTTGGATTGTTTCTTGTGTCTGGCACAGTACTTCTTGCTCTTAGTATAGCTTGGTTGAGGGGGTTTCAATTGCGGTCCAAGTTCAGGAAGTATCTGGCTGTGTTTGAGTTTGCTCAGGCTTGTGGGATTTGCACTGGTACACCAGTTAGGATAAGAGGGGTCACCGTCGGTAATGTCATTCGTGTTAATCCTTCCTTGAAAAGTATTGAAGCAGTTGTTGAGGTTTGTCACATGCCATTATTAACCTTGTTCAATTATTTACGGACTGTGTAAAGTGTGGAGATTTTCTTATCTGTGTCGCCTTTTGTTTGTAGGTTGAAGATGATAAAATAATCATACCTCGAAATTCACTGGTTGAGGTGAACCAATCTGGGCTTCTCATGGAAACTCTGATTGATATTACACCTCGGGATCCAATCCCCACACCTTCAGTAGGACCTCTTGACAAGGAATGTGTTAAAGAAGGTGTAATTGTATGCGACAGGCAGAAGATAAAGGGATATCAAGGGGTAAGTTTGGATGCGCTGGTTGGTATATTTACTCGCCTTGGACGTGACGTTGAAGAAATTGGTATTGCCAACGCCTATTCATTGGCTGAACGAGTTTCATCTGTTGTTGAAGAGGCAAGGCCACTTCTTACAAAGGTGTGATATGCAGCTCTTGTATTTATAGTTCGGTTGCTGGTTATGCCTGTTAAAATTATATTCCATTTGACTGCTTAATTTTGTTGGAGAGAACTGTGTTGGGTTTTTTATAGAGATATGTCACCAGAGCCCTTGTAGTAATTTTGGTAGAGCAACATATCATGGAGCTTCTATTGATGTCATTACCCTAGTTTACTGTGATATTTTAAAGGACTATGTTATGTCAGCAATTTGCAATGTGTAAGAGGTCTGAAAAGTGCAGAGTAGGGATCATGTGTACAATTATTTTAGCCCAACGTGTGTGACTGCCCTGGGCATTTCCCATGAACATTGAAGTTCAAAACATTGATTGAAGGCTACAACTAACAAAGTAATAGGTAATAATATGAAGGGTTTGAGTGAATTGAGGTGATATCTTCATTTGCTCGTTTTGCATTATTTGAGGTTGCTAGTATGTAGGATTTTGTTGTTGATGACTGGTGGTTGTGATGGGATAGATGGAAAACTATTTGAAGTAGAACCTTTTCTTGGAGATTTAATGCACGAGAAACACAAACCTTTGTGTGAAATGTTCATGAGTTTATGATGTAGACCGAAATATCCTTGCTTTAGCCCACTTTTAATATATTCTAATGCGCAGTAATTGTTCTCTCTGATGTAGTGATGTCTCAGATCAAAGCCATGGCTGAAGATGTTCAACCTTTGCTAGCTGAGGTTCGTGACAGTGGGTTGCTGAAGGAAGTTGAGAGTTTAACAAAAGCCCTTACAGAAGCCTATGATGATTTGAGGTAAAATGTCCTATCCTGTTTTGATCGTATATTCCACATTGAGCTTGTAGTTTGCAGGGCATAGGTGTCATTGAAAATGAGAAGAAATTCAAGAAATGACAACTGGCATGGAAACAATCAGTGCTTATTATTTAATTTATTTATTTTCTTTCTTTTCTCCTTGCAGAAGGGTGCACTCATCCATTATGACCCCTGAGAACACCGAACTAATTCGGAAGTCCATATACACCCTTATTTTCACTTTGAAGAATGTTGAGGTATGTTACTGCTTGGCATTTTCATAATATTCTTAGCCAACTTCACAAGTCACCAATTGTTTTTTTGTTTTCTTTGATTGTTGTTGTCGACTTTGTTGTCACTGTTCTTGTTCTCTCAACCATCTTTTCACCATTGCAGAGTATAAGTTCTGATATTTTGGGATTTACTGGTGATGAAGCTACAAGACAGAATTTAAAATTGCTTATCAAGTCTCTCAGCAGGCTATTGTGAAGCCCAATGGAAAGTTAGACATAGGGCAACAAATTCACTCATAATAGTGTTTTGGTCCCTGCTGTTTCAGATGGGAGAAACTCTTGAGTGGCTTCTTTTTTTTCAGGTTGCTATGGCAGGGATAGGTCTTGTATGGTGCCACCTATTGCATTGTGTTATGAGGTTGGGAAGTCAAACCTAAGTTTTTCTGGAAGTTTTATCTTTTGCTCATAATTTAGAATTCCTCCAATTGTTATAGAAAAAGTTAGACATAGGGCAACAAATTCACTCATAATAGTGTTTTGGTCCCTGCTGTTTCAGATGGGAGAAACTCTTGAGTGGCTTCTTTTTTTTCAGGTTGCTATGGCAGGGATAGTCTTGTATGGTGCCACCTATTGCATTGTGTTATGAGGTTGGGAAGTCAAACCTAAGTTTTTCTGGAAGTTTTATCTTTTGCTCGTAATTTAGAATTGAATTGATGTTTGTCGAGGCTTTCCTTTGTAGGGGCCTCCAATTGTTATAGAAATCATATTTTCTGGCTTCTCAACTTTGTATTGTGGAGTGTCGAGCCAGAAATCAGTTCTGAGCTGCAAGTTGAAATCAGAAGTTTAGGTGGGAGCCGTAACCTTTCATTTCAGGAAGTATGTGAACACTATTGATTAATTTTCCGTAAGACTATGATGTGAATTTGTCCAACTTCTTTCAACTGCCAATTGATTTACCCTGAAGTAAAAATCAATTCAGTTATTATTAATATATATCATCTGGATCTGCATTGCAAAATTCTCCTTGAAATGACAGAAATTTCGTGGCGGTTACAAAGCAAATGATTAGGTGCTTAACAAGCGAGAAGACGCTATATTTATCTCCACCAAAGGCTGATTAGAGGGATCGGCCACTGAAAAAGCCTCGACTGGAGACTGCCTTTATTATTATTATCACTGCCTGCGTTATACGCTGCACCAAAAATAAGAGCTGTTAGATATGTAAGTTTTTTTGGTATGTTTTATTTGATGCACTAACAGGATTGAAATGAAAATATAGAATGGAACTTGTTAGAGAGAGACTTGGAACAGTTGGAGAGAGGAGGCAGATTAAATTGCAGTCCACAAATACGGGGAAGAGGAGGGACAAGAGAGGCATCAATGCCCCCGATAGCATTGACAGCGGACTTGATGCAGTCACAGATATCAGTGAGATCATTGTTTGATTGTGACAAGTTACCGATATCCTTGGCACCATTACAACAATCCTCAGAAGGAGAGCTTATAATAGCCATAAGGTACGGGAGACAAGGGGTTAGGTCATTAAGCACTGCTCCACATGGTGGTTCAGCCATGGCCGAGCCGTAAATTAGCGACAGAATGGTCATTAATCTAAATAGGTGTTTCATGATTTTAAGACTGTTTTTGATTAGTGTTGGTGGTTGCTTGTTTGTTGCTATGAAAGGGGTGAGAGGTATATATAAAAAGCTTGGGTTGTGGGCTTGGCCTCCCTGTTAGCTGGCCATTCATTTATCATGAAAGTTTCATGTTCCCTATAGTAAGGATGACTGTTAGAGAGAGAGAGAGAGAGAGCAAAACAATGAGAATAGTGGCATTTGTGCTAGGGTCACCGACTCAACCAATTACATTGTTAAAAAAAAATTGAAATCGATTTGTTATGTAACACAACATAATGTAAACGAGTTAAACAAAATAAAACTGAAAATGATTTCAATTTAAATTCGATTTGATAAATTTGTACACGTAATACAACTTTAGTTTATCTGCCACTGTAAAATTCAGTCAGCGAGGGGCCACCACAATCACCTTCTCCAAAACACATATTGTTGGAATAAATCTTATGTGTACAGTTGTAATAATCAATAATTGCACCAAATATATTATCAAATTATATAAAAAAATATAAGTTGAATATAACATAAATTATTTGGGATAGACCAAACCAAATCATATATCGAGAACTAAAAAAACTTACAGAGAAGTAGAAAACTTACAAACAGATTGTAAAAATCTGGAAACGAAAAACAATTTGATCAAGGCTTGTGTTGGACACAATTTCCTTATGACAAATTCGTCCCTCACAACGGTGCTCACAAGTTTTTATTAGACATTTGTCTCCCAGGATACAACGATCAAACATTGCAGAAATAGCACTACCATGGCAAGTCTAGCGAACCTTACTGTGCAGAATTCTCTTACAGAAAAAACAGAGTGCAAAAAAAAAAAGAAAACACAAGACGAATTCCAATCCAAAATGAATGCAAATGGGAGCCTGTTTATATAGATGAATTGGTGGCTCTTCGAATGGTCATGTGACTTTTCAAAAGAGTCACATTTTTTTCCATGAAAAGTTGCAACCAAAAAAGACATGATTGTTCTTTCAAAAGAATTCGAATTCTGAATTGAATCATGTTCAATTTGTTAGAAATAGTTTTGGAAAAATCAAATTTTTTCTCAACTTTGATATATTTTTTAGGTAGGACCCATGTGCCAAAGTTGGCGGGTCTAAGTGGTAACGCGTTCTATGCTGCGTTGTAATTTACGCAGTATATTTGGTTGCTCAAAACCATTATCGGGTAAATAGGAAATTGAAGCAAAAGTGAGCTCCATAAAAATGGTGTTTTGGCAGAATTTTCTTAAGGTTTGAATTATAAAGGTTTATCCCACATTGGTTTGGTAGGCAAATTTTGTGTGAATTTATAAGGCTTGGGTTTGAAACTTGGGATAGGCCTCAAAGGGCACTCAAGTTTTGTAGAGGGAGAGGTTATGGGTAAGGTGAGCTAGACCCATTGGACCCAAAATAAATACACGTGCAAGCCATCACCGTTCGGCCGATCAAGCGGGCTGGGCTGGGCGCGGGTGCGTGGTGTGAGGTTAGGTTTGTCCGACCCAATACCTATCTTTTTGGGCAAAAAACATTTGAATTTATTTTATGTTTTGGAAAAATAAAATTTGTCCAGTTTTTTCCCACCCGAACAGATGCATATCTATTTAAAATTTAAACCCAACAAGTTCTATTCTGTTTGAAATTAAACCGAATAGATTCAATATTTGTTTAAAATTCAAACCAAACAGTGCCTTACTTGTTCAAACAAGTTTTGTATCTATTAATTCAAACCGAACAGTTACTGTACCTGTTGAATTCAAAATTGAAAAGCCACCATTGCACATATAAATAGACAAGTCCCTCATTTGGTTTTTCATTCAGAAAATTCGTTCTTTCCTCTGTCATTACTCTCTGCATTTTGCTGCATTTAATTTTCTTGTGAGAAAGAGTATAAACACAAAGTGTATTCGTTGTGTGAATAATTTGTAGTGTTGCTATTATTCATTGTTGATTATTTTATCCTGGGAGATAGACGTCCACAATTTGAAAGTACCGTGGAGAGGACGAATCTATCTTAAGGATACAGTGTTAAATACTGGACTTGATAAAAAAATTTATTCGCGGAAATAATAAGATAAGTGCCTTGATTACTTTTTTGTTTAATTATTTTTCCTATTCCAGATTTTTAAAATAAAAATCTATTTCTTATTTATTTATTTATACACTGTTTTGATTTTTGTAACCAAATATTCTCTTTCCTTTCCTTTATTTCTTTTATGTTCTGTTTGTTATTAAGTACGCAAACAAAATTTATTCTTAATACAATGAAGATTATCTTACAGTCTTAAGACATATTTTTATTTTCTGTGTCTTCATTGTATTAATTTTATATGCTTTTACAAAGTGATATTCTGGTTGGAAAATACAAATAGTAGTCATATACTGTTTGATAAATAGTAATAATATACTGTTTATTTTCTTTGACAAATAGTAGTAATATACTGCTGTCATTAACTTTCAGAATGTTATTTTGTGTAGCAGTGTTACAAAAAATTAGTGTATAGTATTTTATTTTTCTGGTTTTAGTAATTAAAAAATTAATTTGTGTTTTGATTATTCGGATTTTTATAATAAGATATTATGGCTACTATAACTGAAAGTGGTACTCTAATTGTTACAACGACTCCGGTCCCTATCTAGAACTATGTTCAAGTTCCAATAAATCATGTTCAAGTTCCAATAAATCATGGAGAAAAATCAGAAAAATTTAATGGTATCCAGTTTAAGAGATGGTAACAGAAAATGCTATTCTATTTTATAACTTTAAATCTGGTCTGGTTTCTCCGTGAAGAGGCTCCAGTACTTAAAGAGGATGAAAATGATCGGTAAGTTATTGTCGTTGTAGACGCCTGGAAAGATTTTGATTTCTTTTGCAGAAAATACACTTTAAATGGCCTTGACAAACATGTTGTATAACGTTTACAACCCATTGAAAACAGCAAAAGAATTGTGGGATTCTTTGGAGAAAAAAAAATACAAGACAGAGCATGCCGACACAAAGAAATTTGTTGTCGATAAGTTTCTAGACTTCGTTATGGTAGACTCTTAAACGGTAATTTCTCAAGTTCAAAGTTTTCAATTAATTTTGCATGATATTCATGCCGAGGGTATGTTTCTAAGCGAGTCTTTCCAAGTCACTGCGTTAGTGGAAAAATTACCACCAGCTTGGAAGTATTTCAAAAATTATTTAAAATATAAACGCAAAGAGATGACCATGGATGAACTGATTGTAAGACTGAGAATTGAGGAAGATAACCGTAAGGTTGAAAAGAGAAATGACAAAAATCCTATTGAGTCTAAGGCTAATGTGATTGAACATGTGCCCAAACCACATAACAAAAAGAGGAAGTTTGCTAGAGATGGTCCTAAACAAGGTGACAACAATAGCAATAAGAAGTTCAAAGGAAAATGCTATAACTGTAACAAGACTGGACATCGTGCCTTTGATTACCGCCGCCCTAAGAAGGATCACAGAAGTACAAGCAAGAAGACTACCAATTAAGCCAATGTGATAGAACTTGATTACATCTCTGATGGGGTAAATGACATCAATCTCTCTGTTATTGTGTCTGAGGCTAATTTGGTTGGAAATCCCAAAGAATGGTGGGTTGACACTGGGGTAACTCGACACAGTTGCACAGACAAGAAGATGTTCACTACTTATAATGAGGCTGCAAATGGTGAGCAACTATTCATGGAAAATTCATCTACTTCTGCTGTGATTGGACAAGGGAAAGTAGTCTTGAATATGACATCGAGGAAGGAACTTACCCTCAATAACGTGCTACATGTACCAGACATCTGAAAGAATTTAGTTTTTGGTTCTTTGTTAAGTAAGAATGGTTTTAGACTTGTTTTTTAGTTTGATAAATTTATATTAACAAAGAGTGGTATGCATGTTAGTAAGGGATACATGAGTGATGGTTTCTTCAAATTGAATGTAATGACTGTTGTACCAAAATTTTATATTAATCACATCTTTTGCTTATGTTCTTGAGTCAAATTTATGGCATGGTAGATTAGGACACGTAAATTTTGATACTTTGCATAGATTAATTGGTTTGGATTCTATACCAAAGTTTGAAATTGATCCTAATCACAAATGTGAAATTTATGTAGAAGCGAAACTAACTACGGCTCTATTTAAATCGGTTGAAAGAAAACCCGAACCTCTAGAATTAATTCATACAAATGTATGTGATCTTAAATTTGTTCAAACTAGAGGAGGAAAAAAGTGTTTCATAACATTTATCGATGATTGCACAAGATATTGTTATGTATATTTACTTAAAAGTAAAGATGAAGCCTTGGAAATGTTTAAACTCTACAAAAATGAAGTTGAAAATCAACTTGGTAAAA